TGTTAGTTGTATTCCTAGGTATTTTATTCTCTGTAGCAATTGTGAATGGCAGTTTCGTTCTTGATTTGACTGTCTTTAAGTCTGTTACTGGTGTATAGGAATGCTTGTGATTTTTGCACGTTGATTTTTTATCCTGAGACTTTGCTGAAGTTGTTTATCAGTTTCAGGAGATTTTGGGCTGAGATGATGGGGTCTTCTAGATATACAATCATGTAATCTGCAAATAGAGACAATTTGATTTCCTCCTTTCCAATTTGAATACCCTTTATTTCTTTTTCTTGCCTGATTGCTCTGGCTAGAACTTCCAGTACTATATTGAATAGGAGTGGTGAGAGAGGGCATCCTTGTCTAGTGCCAGATTTCAAAGGGAATACTTCCAGTTTTTGCCCATTCAGTATGATATTGGCTGTTGGTTTGTCATAAATAGTTTTTATTACTTTGAGATATGTTCCGTCAATACCTAGTTTATTGAGGGTTTTTAGCATAAAGGGCTGTTGAATTTTGTCAAAGGCCGTCTCTGCATCAATTGAGATAATCATAGTGGTTTTTGTCTTTGGTTCTGTTTATGTGGTGAATTACATTTATGGACTTGCATATGTTGAACCAGCCTTGCATCCCTGGGATGAATCCTACTTGATCATGGTGGATAAGCTTTTTGATGTGCTGTTGCAATCGGCTTGCCAGTATTTTATTGAAGATTTTTGCATCTATGTTCATCATGGATACTGGCCTGAAGTTTTCTTTTCTTGTTGAGTCTCAGCTGGGTTTTGATATAAGGATGATGGGATCTAATCAAACTCCACAGCTTCTGTACAGCAAAAGAAACAGGTCATTAGAGTTAATTGGCAACCAACAGAATGGGAAAAAATTTTTGCAGTCTACCCATCTGACAAGGGGCTGATATCCAGAATTTACAAAGAACTAAAACAGATCTACAAGAAAAAAACAAGCCCATTCGAAAGTGGGCGAAGGATATGAACTGACACTTTACAAAAGAAGACATACAGGAGGCCAACAAACATATGAAAAAATGCTCATCATCAGTGGTCATTAGAGAAATGCAAATCAAAACTACATTGAGAGACTATCTCATGCCAGTTAGATTGGCGATCATTAAAAAATCTGGAGACAACAGATGCTGGAGAGAGTGTGGAGAAATAGGAACACTTTTACACTGTTGGTGGGAGTGTAAATTAGTTCAACCATTGTGGAAGACAGTGTGGCGATTCCTCAATGACCTAAAAATAGAAATCCCATTTGACCCAGTGATCCCATTACTGGGTATAAATCCAAAGGATTATAAATCATTCTACTATAAGGACACATGCACACGAATGTTCGTTGCAGCACTGTTTACGATAGCAAAGACCTGGAACCAACCCAAATGTCCATTGATGATAGACTGGACAGGGAAAATGTGGTACATATACACCATGGAATATTACGCAGCCATCAAAAACGATGAGTTGTTGTGCTTTGTAGAGATGTAGATGAACCTGGAAACCATTATTCTCAGCAAACTGACACAAGAACAGAAAATCAAACACCGCATGTTCTCACTCATAGGCAGGTGTTGAACAATGAGAACACATGGACACGGGGAGGGGAGCACTACACACTGGGGTCCTTTGGGGGGAAATGGGGGAGGAATGGGGGGTGGGGAGGTGGGGAGAGATAGCATGGGGAGAAATGACAGATATAGCTGAGGGGAAGGAAGGCAGCAAATCACACTGCCATGTGTGTACGTATTCAACAATCTTGCATGTTCTTCACATGTACCCCAAAACATAAAATGCAATAAAAAGAAAAGAAAAAAGAAAAACTGAATATATACTGTGTGCTAGGAGCTATAGATACAAGAATGAAGAAAACTCATCATCTAATTCAAAATACTCATATCTTAGTGTGAGATACTGGTATATCAATGAATAAAAACTGTATAAAGATCTACATAATCTTAAAGGTGAATATTTAGAATATTATCGTAATACAAATGATTTTTCCTAGGGAACTATCATAGATCGTTTCACAGTTTTAAAATTTTACTTAAAAACTTACTATATGCTAGGTAGTATTCTAAGTATTCTACAAATACTGATTTGTTTAATTCTCCTTTCTTAAGTCCTTTTAACTCTTTCCATCTTATGAAGTTAATAGTATTGATTTCCCATTTTACATATGAGGAAACTGAATCACAAGGCAGCTAAGAAACTAGTCCAAAATAATACAGCTATTAATTGATATTATTAAGATTCAAGTCCAGACAATAATATTCTAGAGCCCATGTTCTTGGTCACTGTGCTATGCTAATGCTTCCACAGAGTCACACCCACTGCTTCCTACACTCCTTATTCATCCTTCTCCCTGCAAGAAGAAACCTATAACTGATTGGTGAGTTTAATAGAAGAATCCAAGTTTGCATGGGTCTCTGTATTAGTTCATTCTCACACTGCTGTAAAAAATATCTAAGACTGGGCAATTTATAAAGGAAAGGGGTTTAACTGGTTTAATTGACTCACAGTTCTGCATGGCTGGGAGGGCCTCAGGAAACTTACAATCATGGCAGAAAGGAAAGCAAACACATTCTTCTTCACAAGGCAGCAGAAGAGAGAAGTGCAAGGAGCAAAGGGGGAAAAGCTCCTTATAAAGCCATCAGATCTCGTGAAAACTTACCATCAAAAGAACAACATGGGGAAACTGCCCCTAAAATTCAATTACCTCCACCCGGTCTCTCCCTTGACATGTGGGGAGTATGGGGATTACAATGCAAGATGAGATTTTGGGTGGGACACAGACAAACCATATCAGTCATCCTTTCTTTCCTTTGGTTATCTGCCTACTGAAAGAAAGGATAGAATTTCATTTTCTGCTGTGAGAAATGGTCAGTAGTATGTGAGGTGCTTCCTCTGAGAATGTAGTATGAGATTATCTTCCTGTATACTGGTAGTGTAACAAATTCAGAGGAAGTAAGCTTGCTGTTGTTGACCTAAGCCATGTGTCTACAATCAGTTTTATCAGGAATAAATACATTTCTCCATCTGCTTGGTTATTGTGTCTGTCTCTGAAAGGGTTTTCCAATTCAGACAGAGAAGAGAGGACGGCTGTATATTTACCTTCTGAAACCCCAACAGCCAACAAGTGAGGAGTAGAGGAAAAGCATTCCAGGCAGAATGGAATGCTCTTATTCCAGAATGGCTTAGCTTATTTTGGTGTTATACCAACTTGATATGTTCATTCCTTTGTAGCTCACTGCTGGTTGAAGATAAGACTGAGATGAAACTCAAATTTTTAACCTAGCTCTTATATTTTGTAACACATATTTTGTAAGTGTAACCTATAAGGAGTCACTGGTAAGAGCTATTTTTAGAGAGGGTAAGATTAGAGAAAGACTTTAAGAAAAATAAATGGACAGTAGTGCAAAATGCAGCAGAGGGCTTGAAAGAAAAGATGTCTGTTCATTGGTATTGGCAGTAGGGAGGTCTTTGGTGATAATCTTGAGAACAGCTTCAGAAATAAAAGCCTAATTTTAAATTATATAATTATAATAGTTTGAATAATAAATTATATACTACAATAATAATCTAATAGTTATAATAGTTTGAACAAAAAGTGAGAGGTGAGAAAAAAGGCAGATGGAGGGTAGACTTCTTTAAGGAAGCTTAGATGGGGAGGAGAGAAGAGGAAATTTTAAATAGCTGCAGGGGAACAGAAATAACTTGAAATTTGTTGTTTGTTTTGCCTTTTTAAAAAGGATTAAATAAATGTGAATATTTCTAAGCAATAGAGAAAACCAGAAGCAATGTTGAAAAGATTAGAACAAGAGAAAAGAACTAGCCTCAAGATCAGCAGAAGGAGGCGGAGTCTTGTGCTGAGAGAAAACCCTCTTCCTGTGGGTCTGGAGGAAAGAGATGCAGGTGGTTTGGATGCACACCTGCCTCCCTTACCTGGTAATCATTAACTTAACTTGTCAGACTCTTCTTCAGTACAGCTCACAAGCTGAACGCACTATACATACTTTTAAATGTTCAGATGGAACTTGAATCCTTGCTTAAAGAATATGTAATAAGTATTATTCTCAACAATTTAAATCCATGTCATGTTGTAAATTTCCACTTGCTCTCTAGGATTTAAAAAGTAATGCCTTTGTGTTTTCTGGATTTTTTTTTCTTTATTTTAAAAATTTCTTTGACTTCTGAGGGAATAGGTGATTTTTAGTTACATAAATGAGTTCCATAGTGGTGAATTCTGAGATTTTAGTGTACCCATCACCTGAGCAGTATACAGTGTAACCAGTTTGTAATCTTTTCTTTCTCTGTCAATATGATAGCTTTGCATTGTGGCTCTCAAGGTGAGCACAGTGAGGAAGGCAAGTAGGGGGTGAGCTCTAAATAGTACATGCCCTTTGAAATAGCCTTCCGTGATGTCCATAGTGAAGAGCCATTGACTAGGAACCTTCCACAATTAAGAATTTCTTTGGCTGGGTGTGGTGGCTCATGCCTGTAATCCCAGCACTTTGGGAGGCCAAGGCAGGCGGATCATGAGGTCAAGAGATCGAGACTATCCTGGCCAACATGGTAAAACCCCGTCTCTACTAAAAATACAAAAACATTAGCCAGGCATGGTGGCACGTGCCTGTGGTCCCAGCTACTTGGGAGGCTGAGGCAGAAGACTCACTTGAACCCAGGAGGGGGAGGTTGCAGTGAGCCGAGATCACACCATTGCACTCCAACCTGGTGACAGAGCAAGACTCCATCTCAAAAAAAAAAAAAAATCTTTTTCTCTCCAGAATAGACCTAATTTTGATCTTTGTAGTGTAGTGCCAAGACTATTTAGATACTATCCATGTTGACTCTAGTCATTCTGTTGTACTCTCAAATATGTACAAAGTCTGATTCATTCTTTCTAACTATTTTTGTACCGAGTAGCCATCTTCCCAACCCACCCCCCACTACCCTTCCCAGCCTCTGGTAACTGTTCTTCTACTCTTTGTGTTCATGAGTTCAATTGTTTTGTTTGTATGTAAGTTGCTTTCTATTCCAGTATATCCAGAATGGTGAAATAACAAGGCCAGCCACGTAGCCAAAGGTCGCTCCAAGCGTACAGGAGATGGGCCATACCTGCCATGGTCTTTCCCAATCCAGTGGAATAGGAAGTGCTCCAAGCCATGCTCCTACAAAACTAGAAATTGTAGTGATCTGGAGACTGTTCTCCCATATGGATGTAACTCCATTTCTACTGAAAACTCTTAGCCATGCTTTGAGGTTTGGTCCTAACAAACATAAGCAAGGTACAGTAGTAAAAGTAGACAAAATAACTGCAAATAAAAATGTTTCCAATGCCAACTCTATTAGTGGTGCTCCATATAGAACAAAAATTACATGAAAGGAGAAACAAGACATAAGAAAGTAGATACAACACTTCAAAAATCTGGTTACCTTGTGTGATAATGAACTTCTTTTGGAGGATGCATTTGGTTTCATTACTAAATATAGTACTAGATCGACAGCAATTACAAAACCAGAACAGGTGCACAACCATGTCAAGTGTGTTTCCAATATTGAGAAGTTCCTATGAGTAAGTGAGAACATGAAATGTTTGTCTTTCTCTACCTTGCTTATTTCACTTTACACAATGATTTCCAGTTCCATGTGTGTTGTTGCAAATGACACTATCCCATGCTTTTTTATGGCTGAATAGTACTCCACTGTGTATATGTACCCCAATATTTTTTCCATTCATCTGTTGATGGATACTTAGGTTTCTTCCAATGTTAGCTATTATAAACAGTGTTCTAACAGACATAGGAATGCAGATATCTCTTCAATACATTGATTTGCTTTCTTTTGTGTATATACCCAGCAGTGAGATTGCTGGATCATATAGTAGCTCTATTTTTAGATTTTTGAGGAATCTCCAAACTATTCTCTATAGTGGTTTTACTAATTTATGTTCTCATCAAGAGTACACAATGATTCCCTTTTCTCCACATCCTCTCCAGCATTTGTTATTGCCTGTCTTTTGAATATAAGCCATTTTAACTGTGGTGAGATGATATCTCACTGTAGTTTTGATTTGCATTTCTCTGATGATCAGTGATGCTGAGCATCTTTTCATATGCCTGTTTGCCATTGTGTATCTTCTTTTGAGAAATGTCTATTCAAATCTTTTGCCCATTTTAAAATTGGATCATTAATTTTTTCCCACACAGATTTGTTTGAGCTCCTTATCTATTCTGCTATTAATCCCTTGTCAGATAGATTAATAGCAAATTAATTTGTGAATATTTTCTCCCATTATTTGGGTTGTCTTTTCACTTTGTTGATTGTTTCCTTTGCTGTGCAGTTTTTTAACTTGACATGATCCCATTGGTTCATCTTTGCTTTGGTTTCCCATGCTTGTGGGGTATTAGGGCCACATTTTGGAACCTCTGGAAGAATTGGTGGGACTATGGTGACATCATGATGCTCATTGAGTCTGGTTTAATGTAAAATGAGATCACTATCTTCTTTCTTACAATTGTAGCATAGGTGACAGGTGTATTTTTATTATGTCATAGAAACATAGAAAACTAGTTGTAAGACTCTCCCTAAAATCTCCCAATCAAGAGATTCTTCAGGGACTTCATTTTCTTTTACTTCAGCATAGTTTATCTTCTGGGAGAGGGACACATGGTTGTATGGACGAAGGACAAAGGAAAAGAGTTGCAGACAATTACATCTGCTTCCCAGAAGGGTTACCCAGTGATATTCAAAGGCCCTAAATAGCTTTTTTTATTTTTAAATTTAAATCACCTGGTTCTTAGATGTGTTTGGGTTATTTTCTGAACAGTCCTTCTCAATGCTCCACTTTAGCAAGCCATCTTTGGGTTATAGTCTTTCACCTTGCTTTTGTCTGTGTTATACACATGCACATATAATGGAAACATACTGTCTGTATGTTTCCAAACATGCTGGTATGGGACCAGGAAGAAGGTCTCTGTGTTGCTGGTATTGCTTCCCAAACAGTTATCACTTTGTCCTTTGCCTTTAGTATAGTGCCTTATTTCTATTGAAGAAGCAAATGAATATACTGTTGTCATGGGATACTTGGGGGTTGCTTCTCTAGCCAGAAACTTCTGTGGTTGGTGATATTGTCTTCCTGAATATTGCTCGTGCCCACTGGGCTTGTTCTTCCTATTCAGCCTGGCAGGCTGTGTTTGGCAAGGTGTCAGCTCTGTGCAAGGCTGCCGCTGGACCAAATGTACCACATGTGGCTTCCGCTTGAGGCACCTGTGTTTGGATGAGGGAAATGCAGCAGCACCTTGAAGCTTGGAGACACCAGAAACTGCAGAGCTACAGAGGGTGCCACAGCCCTGGCTTGAGGGCTCCCTGTAGGGCTGCAGCTTCTCCTTCCTTCTCTTCGCCAAAAACGTGCTGAGTGGTGGGACATGTTTCAGCCCTGTTTCTGTTACAGCTCTTTCAGTTCTGCCATTTGGCTGGTCCCAAGTTCTTGCCCCACATCCAGGAAGAAGGAGGCACATGACAACTGGAGGGTGAACAAGGTGTACAGGAGCTTCACTGAGCTACAGGACAGCTCTCAGGAGACTCGTAGTGGGTAGCTCCTTTGCACAGGCAGGTTGTTCTGATGAGTGTCTAGCTCTCAGCGGAGAGGAGACCTTCAGTGGTTAGCTCCTTTCTGCAGGCAGGTCATCTGGAAGAGTCCAGAAGGGCCATGGTAGATAATTTCTTCCCGCAGGTTGTAGTCTGGAGTCTGTTAGAGTCTGGCTGAGTCCACGGTTTTCATGGGCGCAGAGGGAGGAAATGCTTGCTAATCGGTCCATGGGTGGCCATGAGTGGACATGAAAAAAGCACCATAAGTTCTCACTTCTGGTAACTGACTCTAGGCTTGGAGCCTAAACCCCAGGCTTCAGACCTGCCCCTTTCTGCTCAGGAACCTGTCCTCTGCCTTCCACCATCAACATGTCATCTAAGGTAACCTGGCTGTTCATTTCAAGGGGCACCTGCAGACCTGTGCTGAGCCCCCCTCAGCTGCTGGCTTCCCTCCCACTCGTTGGAACCTAAAGTTCAAAGCGGGGTGAAGCAGCAGGGGGTTGTTGTATCAGTCCCACCCCAAGTACATGTACACCTGGCAGTTTACAGTAGTGCCTGGGCTCAGCCACTTCTTTGCTCTGCACTTGAGTGGGCACCAGGAACAGGGAGAGGCCAGGGAGTAGGAGCAGGCAATTCTATGCCTCAGGGGACAGGGAGGAGTGGTGGCTTCCTAGTCCCCAGAGAGTGCAGGGATGCTGGGGCCTGGAGCTACAGCTGGGTAGGTGTAGCTGTACCTGGGAGTGTGGGGCTCCCGTCCCACCAAATTGATAGGGCCAGGGTTCCCACTGTTCCTGGCCCAGCTGGCTCCACCGAGTGTGCAACCCCAGCCACACCTCGCCCTCTGCAGCTGACATTCCTCCGTGGCCTCTGCAGACTGGCTGCTGCTGCCATCGCTGTTGACTTAACACTAGGTTTATTAATCCGAAAATCAGTAGGCCTTGTTCAGAAGCTTTCTTGACACTGACTACCCTCATTCTTTCTAATCTTCATCCAAGTTGCTAGTAACCAAAAGGCAAAGAGATGGCAAGCAGATAAGTTGTAACTGGTTAATTTTGTAGACATATTTATTTTAGTCATGTTATTACCTGATGACTATTACATAGGCTTCACGTTCTTAAAAATGTCATAATCTCGGTTTCTTTTATAATCTTTAATAAAAGCATCAGACTACAAGAGGCCTCAAGAAGATTTTTATTCTTATCTCTACCACTCTTCGGTGTATAATGCTGTCTCATTTGAGCCATTACGAATTTCTTCAAAATAACTTTGGACATATGAGGGCCAGGTTTTAGTCAAACCTGAATTCACTTCTCTCAGTTTAAATAGAGAAAAAATAGTATCTCCAGAATTCAAAATTGTGCTAGTCGTATGTTATTTCCTTGGAATTTGCAAACGAGTGCTTATTTTTTCCCATGCATTTTATTCAGGGTTGCGAAATGAAGATATTCAAATATCAAATAATATATTAATAACAAGTTATTATTTTAGAAAATAGCACCTTATTTTTTACATCTGACCTCTTTTTTAAAAAAAAAATTTTTATTTTATTTTTTTTAGTACAAACAATAAACCAGGCAAATCCATGCTTCATTACTTATACACACAAACATACTTATTTATACTTTAGTCTAGATATGAAATTTATGATTCTAGATATGGAATTATATCTAGAGTTTTCCTAGAGGAACCATGCTAGGGTTTGAATGTCTCCCCCAAGGTTCACATTTGGAAACTTAATTCTCAATGCAACAGTGGTGAGAGGTGGCACTTTAAAAACTGATTGGATCATGAGGGCAGAGTGTATTAATACTATCATTGCAGGTGAGAGTTGGTGATTGCAGGTGTGGGTTTCTAATGAAAGGTTGAGTTTAGACCCCTTTTCCCCTCTCTCTCGTGAATTCTCTTTTGCCCTTACACCTTCCACCTTCCGCCATGGGATCATGTAGCAAGAAGACCCTCTCAAGATATAAACCCTTTGACCTTGATCTTCTCAGCCTCTACAACTGTAAGAAACAAAGTCCTATTCTATATAAATTATCCAGTGTGTGCTATTCTATTATTGCAATACAAAATAACTAAGATAAAGCCTTACAAAAGAGTTAAATTTTTCTGGGTTTTGGTTGGATTTCTGCTGCCAGTCACAGGTTTATCCTCCAGAGAATAAATGTGTTTTCCCCTCAACCTGCAGGTGTTCTTTTCTCTTATGTAAACCTTAAAATGAAAGCTTCAGATGGTACTTTTAAGAACATTCTTAGTGTTTTTGAAAAAACAATACTGTACACATTTAAGATGCATTGGCATTTTGGCTCTGTCAGAGAACCAACAGCAGTGTAAGGTACTAATTTTACTTGTTCAATCAGAGACACTGCAAAACAAATTGCCTTTCCAGTTCCACTGTGAATTTGTGAATATAAAATGACCATCAAAGGAGGGAAGCTACTCGTCTTCATTTAACAACTGATGTCTCCGGATTATATGAATTTGTTATTCTGCTTGAAATATATTTTCAAACCATCTCTGTGGTTAGAAATCAGTTACAGAAATTCTGTGTTATTATTCTTTCTCTTTAGTTAGGAGACACCCTAAATGATCTCTAATAGCTGCAGACCAAGAGCCAATAAATAATATGACTATAATTCACATTTTCTTTACTCAACCTTTATTTTATCTCAGTAGCAATCTGCTTAATGCTTAACCTACTCCTTAACCTATTTCTATCTTTTCTTTTGCTAAGGATACATATTTTTGTTGATTGTAAGGCCACTCTTTGCTTATTTATCATTTCTGCATTTGGTTGCCAGGACATGTTGCCTGAATCTAAAAAACATTTGGAGGGCTAAGAAATCTATTTGATGAAAAGCACCATTTTCTTGCTTGCTATCAAAAGAATTAACTTGCCTAGTTTCAATGCTGTATTTTACTCTTATTTATTGCAAGGAATAAAAAATATCTTCTCCTAATGGCGAAACATATTTTGTCATAATTCCATTAACATTTCA